TGCGTCGCCCATCTCTCTTTTCTTTGCAACCACCCGCTTCCCGTCCCCCTCTCCCCCACCCTCCCCCCCTCTCCTCTCCCTCTCCCCTTAATCACAACACACATATATCCCTCAGACTCACCCCTCCTCTTCCCACATCCCTCCTCCTCCCTTCCCTATACACCCCCTCCCCCCTCCCCCCCCTCTCCGTCTCCCCTCTCCCACGCCTACCTCTCCATATCCTACCCACTAACACCCACACACATACATACAAAATACATACATACACATCTGGCTTACTTCCCCCCGTCCACCCCACCACCCACCTATCCATCCCCACACCGCTTCCCATATTTCTCCCTCGCCACTCTTCCCCACCCCCCTGCATACCGAGCCAAAAAAAAAAAAAGAGGTGAGCAGCTGGTAGAGGCTTTACGATTGATGGATGGGATGGCGGTAGTTCGCCATTGATATAACCGCAACATGTCGACCCGCCATACAGCACCAGCTGCTTTGCATCTCCGGGCAGATGACTCCGTGCAGTCCAAAGCGAATTCTGCGATCTCTCGGCTCCAGTGGGTTACCGCGCAACGTGGGCGGGTGGAATGTGTGTCTCATTCACAATAGACTTGGCTTACCCTTTGAGGAATGCCAGACCGGGCGTGGCGGATACTGGGGCGTAGTCTGCCGTAACGAGGCGTGCGATATCGAGCGGTATAGACAAGGATACTAAGGAATGAGGAGTATACGATTCGAGGTTTGGCGAAGCTAGCCGCTGGTTCGCCTGGTCGGCAAGCTGATGAGCAATGTCCAGAGCGAGAAAAAACGACGTCACAAGCAATTGACGGGGAAAAGAGACGACACAAAAGCAGCTAGCTTTGGTGTTTCGGGGAAGTGCGGCCTGAGACAAGAAGTAAAGGGTCCTTTTGGTCTCAGAGGCATGTGGCAAGGGTCGCGTGCTACTCTTGATTCTGGCGATTTGAGACTCGGGAGACGAATTTGACGACCTGGGAAGGTGCGGATGACACAACACGACAGGGTCGAGCCGGTAGCCCCTCACCACTGACGCGTTGCCCTTGGCGCGGGTCCATTCTACTCACTCGTCAATATGCTGCTACATCCATGGCACTCGGATGAAGGCAGAATACCACTTCGAACCCCTGTGCTCAATCATATTTACTGGACCATTGTCGTCTGATTGAGATGCATGGCAGGTTGTGAGGTGAGGGGCCGAGGAATATGCCAAGCGTAAATTGCGACGGTGGAGGGGCAGCCCGCCAAACCCACGAGCCAGGCTTCTTGGCTGGGGGATGAAGCATTCCAGTTGTCGTTACCAAGGCTGTTGCACGGCCAGCTGCGTCATGTGGGTGTTCAGTCGAATGACCGGACATCACAAAGCACGAGATGATTGCTGTTCACCAAAACGAAGCCAACTGAGATTCAGTCTCGTGAGGAGCGCCGGCGACAGGCCTATGTTGGCAAACCCAAAATCCCATGCCGAAACGCCCATGCCCCATTGGTATTCATACACAGACTTAGGTCTGTACCAATTGTACGTCTCAGACCCGTCTGTGCTAGCCTCGTGGGCCCGGCCTCTTCTTTCGTTGCCCGAGTACATTCGGCTCGACAGAGAGGTGTCTCGAGCGTCCATCACCCACATCTTCTGGCGTGTAATGGATAGCTCTACGCGACCTCTCCAAACCTTCTGACTGTCCCATGTTCGGGTGCTCTCCGGTTGACTCGATGGTATTATAAGCGTATGTTGGAGTATTCCTTCTTCCACAGCTCTCTTCCATAAATACCACCGAGCGCTGTCTGGTAGGCGGTCTTGACCTCTCGAGCCCCTGCGTCTGAGTTCTCGCTGGCTGTTCAGACCTCACTGGATTATCTTCAGCGAGCCACAACGTCGGCCGTGAGCGCTCCAGGCCCTCGGCCCTCGGTCTCACTTGATGGTCAACATTGGGTCCGGAGACCCGTGTCGACATCGCCAAGCCAGAATCGTCGTTCATATGCCGCTTATTGTCGTGAAGAACACCGACATTCTTGTGACGGCGTTTTGATCGTGAGCTTTCGAGGCCTTGAGACAACGCTTTGACAGATGTGGCAGGTCTTGGCTTCCCGGATGTCCTAGATTCGCCAGTCGCGCCATCGTCGCCGCGTCTTTCTTCAGCAGATGCCACAGCACTCACTACCTTTCTCCTTGAACCTTTTTCAAGGCCGGTGAGAGGCCGGTCTTGAGCTTCGGGCACCTCATCGTCGGCGATGTACGTGCTTGTCAGCCTTGCACCACTGGCCCTCTCCAGCCCTGTAACCAGCTCACCGTTCTCCGCCTCACGCCGCTGTCTCTCCTTTTCCTCGCGCTTTTCTTTCCTCTCTCGCCCCTCGGCCTCCCGTCGACACCGTCGCATCTGCTTCTCACCCACCACCCAGGGCACCCCCAACACATCGCGCTTGAAACTGTCCCTCTTCTCCCAGAGCGCAACCTCCTGTGCTGTGGACCTTACAATCTTGACCTTTTGTATCTTGACCGTCTTCTCATCGCGAAAAAGCGCCACGCTCCCCTTGATGTCCACGACGGCGCCGACATCAACATGATCGCAACCCGGCTGCAGAAATTCAAGTCGTCGAGGCGCATACGCTAGCGGATCCTTGTCCCCAAAGGTCGGAAGCACGGCAGGGATGACTTTGACGGCAACATTGCACTCGATGCAGGCGCCGCTGCTGTCGTCAATGGTGAAGATGCGACGGTTGTAGACATCGTCGATGGCGACGACCACGCCGACGAGGCGCACCCATTTTACGGGAAGATTGCGGTGGAAGAACAGGCCTTGCCCTGCGTGAGCCTTGTTAGTGTTTGCCGCCTGGGAAGACGGAGTGGATGGAGACGCCTACCTTCATACTCGTTGTGCGTGTCGAGGGCGTGAATGGTCGCCGCGGTGAGCAGGCACCATTGATCAAACGTGGGGGAGAGGTGGAAGCAGTATTGAGGGTACAGGTCGGTGGATGCGCTGGTCATGGCATGGCCGGCAAACTGCGCTTTGAGGATTATGGAGAGATGTCGCAGGCGCTGGAAGTAGGACACCTTATCGTGTCTCGTTTCGTTTGACGCGGTCTGAAATGAGACGCGTCGATGGCAGATACATGCGAGCACTTTAAACCGTTGTGGAGTCGCAATGGCGCGCCTTGGTGACGCAGTCGCAGTTGGGGTAGGCAGCGATACCACCCACCACAGAGGGACCCGTTGACCCAGCGACAACCGGCCCAGTTCACCAGATATCAGAAGCTGCAGTCAGTCTGAGCGAGTTGCAAATCATCAATGCAAGAACGTGAGCAAAGCTCTGTAACATTGAATTCATTCAGGCTATGATTTGTCTCGGTATAGCCTAGGCCCAACGCCACATAATCCATACACTACAAATCGTGAAAAGCTGACCCAAAATACCATCCCATGCGCCGATTGACTTCCCTACTAACTCACACTCATTTCTTGGAGCTCCTTGTTGGCCTACTTGACTCAGAGGCCTTGGCTTTCTTGAGCCTCGCAGCCGCCGCCTGGAAAGCCTCCTCCGATGGCTCCTCCTCAACAACCCTCTTCTTGCCCGTCTTCGTCTTGCTCGGCGCTGCGTACTTGGCCTCGAGGTCCTGGAGAAAGTTGGCCCGCTTCGCCTGGTTCTGCTGGATCAACGCAGCCAGATCCATCTCATCGTCCTTCTTGTTCTTCTTGCCCTTCTTCTTGTTGCCAAACAGCTTGTCGTGTACGCCCAGCTCCTTTGCGTATTCCTCAGCCCCCTGCCCCTCAGCCTTCGCGGCCTTGACCCGCGCCGCTTTGGACTTGGCGCTCTCCTTCGTGTAGGCCGTGAAGGGTGGTACATCTCCCGACTTGATAGCCGCATCGATGATGGAGCGGAAACGCTCATCGTCCTCGAGCACGTCGCTCAGCATGACTGATTCGTAAACCTGGTCCATCTTGCCCTTGTGCTCCTCGTACGCCACGAGCACGTCATCCTTCTCCTCGTCGGAGCCCTTGTACTTGGCGGCGAACTTCTCAATGGCATCTGCCGAGATGGAATCGCGGAACTGCTCACGGTAGAAGTCGGACCAGTTGAAGCCGTCGGCGTCGACGATGGATTCGGAGGTCGAGCCGGTCGTGTCGTAGCGCTTGCGGCGCGCAGGATCAGAGAGGATGGCATAGGCGAAGGCGATGGACTGGAACTTTTCGTTGGCCTCGGACTTTTTGTCTTCGGGGACCTTGTCTGTTGGGCTCCAGTCAGCGCGTGTACGCAGCTTGAGGCTGGCCCTGGGGGCTGCGCTGCCTACCTGGGTGGTTCTTCAATGCTGCTTTGCGGTAGGCCGACTTCACCTGGTCGGCAGTAGCCTCCCGCTCGAGACCCAGCGTCTCGTAAGGGTCGATGGCCGGCGGCTCGCCATCGATCAGATCGTCGGAGGAAGACATTGTCGATCCGTTGTGTGTTTGATGAATATGTGGTCGATTGTGGTGCGTTGAGCCGGCAGAGCATCAGCCATCAACGCGTTTCGACGCGTCCGCATAAAGTGGCAGGCTAGGCGAGCTCCAAGTGGGGGTCAAGTCGGCAATCGACGCCTACAGTGCTGGGTGGCAGCTGGAGTAGTAGCCCCTCTAGAGGAGCTCCATCGCTCTACCCCTCCCTCACCAGTCTGCCTTTTCCCATCTGCATCTCAGGCGGATTGGCAAGGCGAATTGGGTGTATGACTTTTCACTGACAGGGACGAAGCTCGCCGAGAAGAATACCGGCTTTTTCTTGGTGCTCAAGACAAGATCTATCGACGACCACTGATTCTCAACCGCGTCTGCAACTTTACAGTTGTAACCATGGCTTCCATTACAGACACCGAGCCAGCGCCGTCCATCCATCCTGGTGACCACAAGGCGTATCTCCAGTACGCTCTGTCTCTAGCGGCCCGGTCGCCCCCGAAATCGACAAACTACAGTGTAGGCGCGGTTCTCGTCGACCCCAACACCAACGCCATCGTCTCCACTGGCTACACGCTGGAACTCGAAGGCAACACACATGCCGAGCAGTGCTGCTTCATGAAGTTTGCGGCCGCCCACAGTGTGACGGAAGAGGAGCTCGCGACGGCCGTCCAGTCACCACCCTTGATCCTGTACACGACAATGGAACCTTGCTCGGAGCGGCTCAGTGGCAACCTGCCCTGCGTGAAACGCATCCTCCGCCTGAAGCACCTCATCACGGCCGTCTACGTCGGCGTGCAGGAGCCGGAGAAATTCGTCAGTGACAACACTGGCCGAGGCGCTCTCCAAGCTGCCGGCATCGAGTTTGTTCACATTGGAGGGCTCGAGAAGGACATTCTAGCCGTCGCCACGGCAGGACATTTGATCAAGTAGGGAGCAGGCCACCCCACCACGACTGTCAAAGTTGGCTTCTACCTAGGCAAAATTGCAGGGAACACCATCCTGGAACCCGAGATATCCGTCACGACTCCCTCATGGTTTCTTCTTGATTTGGTAGCTGGCCAATCCGGGGATCCCCCCATCCTGTTGGATAGCTGCATCGATCCAGTGGCGAAAGTTACCCTTGCGATTGTTGGTTGGATTGGACTAGCGTCACGGCAATGATTGAGAGCTGCATGTAGCGTTGGGACAGCTCATTCACCCACACATGCTTCAGGTAGCCAGCGAAGCCGTGTGCCTTTCTTGGAGCTCACCCACAAGCTGTCTTGCCGACACATGCTGGCTCTCCGGGAAGAAAGAACAAACCAACTGCCAGCTTGTCATCAATTCTAAAGCACCCAATCTCCTTCCGTCATGGCGATGCCCTCGCTTCAAGGGCACATCCAGTTTTGTATCAATGGTATTGTCCGCACCCGGCAGTTTGCACGACTTCTAAAGTTGCTAGCACATCCCTCGGACCATCATCCTGGAGTCATGACGGTAGCCAATGCAGCCAGATTGTCACTGTAGCGTGCTATCACGTTGGGAAGCATGGGGGGATCTGTGCGGCCGTTCCTTTCAACCCCCGGACGGCTGCGATCCCGACTGGTTGACGACGCTACTTACCCTAAGGTACCTAAGCCACGTTCTCGACGTTTATTGTTTGGGCGTTGATTGACATCTGGGGATGTCACAGGAGACCTACCAACCCCAGACATGACCTCCTCGTCTTGATATTCCCTGACCAGCCATTCATGTTCAGGCTCGGCAGAAGGCGGGCGGGGGACAAAGTGGAAATACCCACTAGTGGGCCTCCCGCCTAGATGGTGCACTAGGGAGGGGCAGTGGTGCGTGTCCAGGCCTCAGCTCAGCTACCTCGTCTTGCTCGTCTTCCCGGTTTGGATTCTCGCACACCTGTCGATCGGAGCAGGGCATCATCGAACTTTTGGCCAAGTACCTGTGATCAGCCTCGTCTTTTCAAAAAGTCTCTGGAGTGTTTCTCTGTCTCATCTCACAACCCACGTCCTGCCGTCGCATGCCAACAAGTGCACCAACGACCACCCCTTGGAAGTTTGCCTCCTCAGTCAATGGCAAACTGAGACTTGCTCTTTACGACGCAAAACCTCATCCGCGGGCTTCATGCTTCGACAAACACGCTTCCATAGGTAGCTCAATCAAAGGGAGTTCCTCCCGAACCCAGAGTATCCCTGCGTCTGATAGCCATTTGCACAAGGATTCTGTTGGCCTAAGCAGGAGGATTGGGCAATCCGACAAACGGAACGCCCTCAGCACGACAATCAAAGACTCTCACCACGCCTCGGATATCTCATTCTACGAGCGATATCCACCCTCTACTCAACAAACTCCCATCACACTATCACTGAAGCTTGGCAGCTTCTACACTCGCCTTCCACTCAGCCTGACCTGCTGATTCTACGTCGCTGAACTTAAACTCGAACATCTTCACCGACCCAATCGCTCACCGTCTTGCATCATGGCTGATCATCCACGGGGCGGCCGCGGCGGAGGCCGTGGCGCAGGCCGTGGCGGAGACCGAGGCGGAGCCCGAGGGCGTGGCGGAGATCGTGGGCGCGGAGGGGATCGTGGGCGCGGGGGAGATCGGGGTCGCGGCAGCGCCTTCGGGGGCGGCCGTGGCGACGCCCAGGGTGGCCGCGGTGGGTATGGTGGTGACCGTGGAGGCCGGGGCAGTTACCGTGGAGATCGTGGAGGAGGCAGCACATATGGCGACCGCGGCGGTGGTGGTGGAGGTGGCTATCGAGGGGATCGTGGAGGTGGCGGCTTCCGAGGTCGTGGAGGCCGCGGCGGATTCGCCCCTCGCGCCGAGCCGTTCGAAGGCGAGCCTCATCGTGTCTTTGGGTTTGTCCCTCTTCTCATGTCTCAGTTCACATGTGTAGTTGCCCATGCTGACACTACTTCAGGCAAGACCAGGCCATCCCGGAACCTAACGCCGCAGTGACGGCTCTGGAGAACAAGCTCGTGGCCGCTTATCAGGCTCAGGGCCTGAACACAAAGATGAGCAAGCTCAAGGTGTCCGGTGAGGCTGATTTGCTGTTCCCCCTCCGCCCTGCATATGGAACCAAGGGAAACAAGGTGGTGCTCTGGGCGAACTACTTCGAGATGGGCGTCAAGCCAAAGGTTGTGTACGCTTACAACCTCGAGGTACACAAGGTTCGCCCCAACAAGGGCGCTCAGCGCCAGGTCGATCCGAAGACCAGGATCAAAAACAAGGCGCTGAAGACAGATGTCTCGGGACGAAAGCTAGCCATCATCATCCAGCTGGCTATGGACAAGCTGCGCGAGGAGGATCCGAAAGCGGTCCTCGCCACCGAGTTCAAGAGCAAGCTCATTTCGCTCCACAAGCTCAAGTACAACGATGACTGCCTTGAGGTGACCTTCAAGGGTGAGAATAGCAACAAGACAGAGAACTTCTTTGTCCGGATCGTTGATCCCATCGAAGCCTCGTTCGACGCAACCCTGCAGTATCTCAAGACCATGTCGGACAAGGCCGATCCCAATGGCTTCCCCAAGTTTGCCGTCCCCGTCGATGCCCTCGGCATCATCCTTGGCTACACTCCGCGCAAGAACCCCGAAGTCTCGCCCGTCGGGAGCGCTCGGTTCTTCCCCATCGGCCCGACATGCGTCGAGAAGCAGCTCGGCGTGAACAATCGGATCTCTGCCATCCGTGGATACTTTCAGAGTGTCCGCCTGGGCACCGGTCGTGCCCTCCTCAACGTCAATGTCACCAGCGGCGTCTTCAGGACTGCCGTTTCGGTTGCCGACCTCTGCCGCTGGGCCAATATCGCGCAGTACGGCGGATCGAACCCGCCCGACCCAGGCACTACCGCCAAGACGAAGGCCCTGTCCAACTTTCTCAGCAAGGCACGCGTCAAGTGCGTCTTCAGGGACGGCAATGGCCGCGACTATGAGGCGAAGAAAACAATGTTGGGCCTAGCTGGAATCAGCAGCTCGCAAATCAACAGGGACGTTCTCAAGAGCGAGACTGTCAAGTTCAAACAGAACTTCCAGTGGGGCGGACCCAAAGACGTGTGGTTCAAGATGGAACCTCGCGAAGGCGAGACGACTGTGATGGGCAACAGGCGTCCGGGTCACTACACCGTTCATGAGTACTCAAAGTGGAGTATGCGGACCGTCTCCTCAGCTTTTCCTGAAGCTTCACGCTAACCTTGACTGTAGAGTATGGTATTGACTTTGACGCGAAGCTCCCACTCGTCAACCTAGGACGACCCGACAAGCCGTTGTACGTGCCCGCCGAGCGGTGCACCATCATTGGCGGTCAGTCGGTGCGGTCCAAGCTCAGTGGCGAGGAGACGACGTTGATGCTCGACTTTGCCTGTCGGTCTCCGTTTGCCAACGCCCTCTCGATCAGCACGGAAAGTCGCAGCGCGCTGGGCCTGGATGAGAACCCGACACTCCAGCAATTTGGCCTGACCATCGACCGGCGCCTCCTGACGGTCTGGGGCCGCGAGCTCCAGTCACCCTCGGTCCTTTATCTCAAAAACAAGGAGGCGAGGACGTTTAGCGGCGGATGGAACATGCGGGACGTGCAAGTTGCTGAGGCGGGTCCCAAGATCACGAACTGGGCCTGGGTGCAGGTGACGGAGAGCGAACGCTACATCGATGCTGCCGAAGCCGTGGGCAAATTTGCCGCCTTCCTTGCGAACACGGGTATCCCCATCGACACGGCCCCTCGGCGAGGTCTTCGGGTACGCACTTCGTCGTTCCGATACCAGGACGACGTGGAGGCGGCGTTCAAGGAACTTGAGCAAAGGGCTGTCAAGGGGCCCCCCAATCTCTTCGTGCTCGTCATCCTGCCCCGTCAGGACACCACTCTCTACAGTGTTATCAAGACGCTGGGCGACTGCCAATTTGGATTCCACACGATTTGCGCCGTGGAGAAGATGTTCACCAAGGAGAATCCCATGACGTTCGCCAACATTGGTCTCAAGTGGAACCTCAAAAACGGCGGCATCAACCACAGGGTCAAGGATCCCATCGGCATCGTGGCCCAGGGCAAGACCATGGTCGTCGGCTACGACGTCACACACCCCACCAACATGGGTCTGCAGCCAGGAAACAAGGACTTGCCGCCGAGCATCGTCGGCCTCGTGGCCAGCGTTGACAAGGATCTGGGACAGTGGCCGGCGGTGGCGTGGGAGCAGGAGTCGGGCCAGGAGATGCTGGACAGCAAACTCATGGAGAGCTTCAAGTCGCGGCTGGAGCTCTGGCGCAAGAAGAACCCGCAGTCGCTCCCCGAGTTCATCGTCGTCTACCGCGATGGCGTCTCGGAGGGGCAGTTCAGCCAGGTGCTCGAGCAGGAGCTGCCGCAGATGCGCGAGGCGTGCCGCGTCATGTACCCGAACGGGCGCATGCCCAAGCTCTCCATCATTGTGTCGGTCAAGCGGCACCAGACACGGTTCTACCCGACTCGCGAGGACCACATGGACGCCAAGTCGCGCAACATCAAGAACGGCACGGTGGTGGACCGGGGCGTGACGCAGGCGCGGTACTGGGACTTTTTCCTGACGGCGCACACGGCGCTCAAGGGCACGGCGCGGCCGGCGCGGTACACGGTGCTGCTGGACGAGATATTCACAACCAATTACGGCATGACGGAGCAGGCGGCCAATCAGCTGGAAAAGTTCACGCACGATCTGTGTTACCTCTTTGGACGGGCCACCAAGGCCGTCAGCATCTGCCCGCCGGCGTACTACGCGGACATTGTGTGCGAACGGGCGCGGGTGCACAGGCCCGAGTACTTTGACGTCTCGGACACCATGTCGTCGTCGGTGCGCAGCGGCGGAGGCCTGTCGGCCGACGACGGGGCCAAGGTGGTGCATGCACGGCTCAGGGACACGATGTACTACATTTAGGCCGACGGCTTTCGTTGACGTCATGCACTGCAGATTGGAAACGGCGTGCTTTAGGGAAGATTGATGATGATCAGCGTGACCCTGTGAATAAGGTAGCGAAGGACAATTCGAGTTGCGTCGCATCGGCCTACAAGTTCATCCGAGTGACGATGTTTCCCCTGGTGGGTTTGTAGGTGGGTTTAGCCCGAGAACCGTACGAGGGATCAGCGCTCGGCATCCGGGGAAGGCCGAGTCCTGATGGGCCCAGCCCTATGAGTAGGGCATCCATCGGGACGGGTGTCGGGGACGCCATTGTCAGCGTCGTACGTGAATATCACAGCAAATAGATCTGTGCAGGTGATGTGCATGACGCTCAACATGACTGTTCGTCAGCAAGGTAAGCCGGGACGATCTCGAGACACTAGGCAAAGTAAGATGGCTAGTTCCCTTACCTAGGTAGGTACCTTGGCTTGGGCCAAAGTACACGTAGCTGCTACCTAGGCACGAAAAGGTCGAAAAGGTCACGATCGCGTGGGCCAGTGGACGGCGCCTTCGATTGGGCCCTGCTAATCTGATCCAGCACTGTTGCCTGATGGCTGCTGCTCTCTATCTACTGACATGCTCTCCGGCCAACGAGAAGAGGGGGACGAGCAATTCCCTTGGTGTCGTCGGATGATGTTCTAGGCAGGTCCTGGTGAGACCTGGCGTCCCGTGGCTTCTGCCTGCCGCTGACCGTTGGCCTAAGGCTAGGACGCCCTTTCGTGCATGCCCAGGCAACAGCTTGGGCCACCTACCTGATGACGGAAATGAAAGAGGGAAGGAGGGACTTTGGGGTCTCGCGTGTTCGCGTGTTCGCTTCCCCTTGTTACCACGCCGCCTGCCCCCATGTCTCCAAATGCGAGGGAGGGACCGAAAGTTCAGCTCGGCCTTGGGCGCCAGTGGAAAGGGCACCCGCCGGACCCTGCCTGGCCTGCTTCCCATGCACGGGTGTGTTTCCTTCCTGCTTCCGTACCAGTCGCCAGGTCCAGTCCCTTGCTCCTGCTCCTGCTCGGTAGACGGCCCAGCAAATGCTAGAAATCGAACTCGGACTTCGGTCTTTCGCTTCGTCAGGAAAGACCGTTACACGACGCACCAAGTCGCCATTGCTTCTGCTGCTGCATTTTATTTTCCTTGTTTCGTCGCGTCATCACCCTCTCCCACACCCCCTGTGATTTTACTTCTCATCAACAACTTCACTGCAACTCTGCGCACTATTAATACTCTACTGTTGTCCCGCTTCCGTTCACCTGGCAGCATCCGCCCAGACGACGCCGGTCCAGCATATACTATTAGCCGCAAAGGACAAAACCCACCATACTGGCTGCCTCCCACCTCGCCTTATGAACCCCTTGGAATCCAGATTCATCCTACTCCCTGGCGTGTCTCTCTACCTAGCTTTGCAATATGGCTTCGCCGCCGGAAACCACACCCGTCGAGGTCAAGCCGACCCAAGTACACGCCCACCCTCAACCACAGCCGCAGCTGGAGAAGAGCGACGACACCACCTCGACAGAGGTGGCCACCCACGACCCCATTGATGAAAAGGCATCAGTCGATAGAGCCTTTGATGAAAAGACTCTTGACGACGGCGCAGCTGAGAAGCCCGTCGAGAAAAGTCAACATGAGCCAGCCGCGGATGCAAACGCGAACGGCTCCGTCGAAGATGAATCCATCTATCCCAAAGGCCTCAAGCTCACCCTCATTCTCACTTCATTGTGCCTCGCCGTTTTCCTCGTCGCCCTCGATCAGACAATCATCGCCCCGGCCCTGGGCGCCATCACGGCCCAGTACAACTCGGTCGGCGACATTGGGTGGTACGGCTCTGCCTACCTCTTGACCACGACAGCCCTGCAGCCCCTGTATGGTGCCATTTATAAGCACTTCAACGTCAAGATCGCCTTTCTCATCGCCATCTTCATCTTTGAGGTCGGCAGCGTCGTCACCGCTGCCGCCCCCACCTCGACCGCTTTCATCATCGGTCGTGCCATTGCTGGCATTGGCACAGCTGGTCTATTCTCCGGATCCATCGTCATCCTGTCCTACACCATGCCGTTGCGTCTTCGGCCCTTGGCATTCGGCCTCATCGGCGGCATGTGGGGCATCGCCTCGGTAGCCGGCCCTCTTCTGGGCGGTGCCCTGACTGACCATGCCACCTGGCGCTGGTGCTTCTACATCAACCTGCCCATCGGAGGCGTCGCCATGGCCGTCATCGTCTTCTTTCTGCATCTGCCCAAGAATTCGCACAATCTGCAGGGCCTCACCGTCAAGGAACGTGTCCAGCGACTTGACATAATCGGTGCCCTCCTCTTCTTGCCGGCCATCGTCTCCCTCCTGCTCGCCCTGCAGTGGGGCGGCAACAAGTACAAGTGGAACGCTCCCACGACCGTTGGCCTGTTCGTCTGCTTCGCCGGCCTGCTCCTTCTCTTTGGCGTCGTTCAGCTGCGCAAGGGTCCCAACGGCACTCTGCCCCCTTGGCTTTTCCGAAACCGCAATGTCGTCTGCGCCATGCTCTTTGCTTTTTGTTTTGGCGGGGCCTTCTTCCCGCTCATCTACTACCTCAGTCTGTACTTCCAAGCCGTGCAGGGCGTGTCGGCTGTCCAGGCCGGCATCAAGATTCTCCCACTGCTCCTCTCGGTTGTCCTGTCTTCCATTGTCAGCGGCGCTCTCATCTCCTGGCTTGGCTACTACAGCGCCGTCACGCTCCCCTGCCTCGCCCTCTTCATCGCCGGCGCCGGCGCACTGACGACTCTCGACGTCGGCACTGGCCTGCCCAAGTGGTTTGGTTTCCAGGTTCTCGCCGGCCTCGGCGTCGGTCCAGGCTTCCAACTCGGTGTCCTTGTGGTGCAGACCGTGCTCAAGCTCGAAGATGTGCCAGTAGCCACGGCGTGCGTGCAGTTCTTCCAGGCCCTCGGCGGCGCTGTCATGATCGCCGTCGCTCAGTCACTGTTCCAGACGGGGCTCATGGACGGCGTCCGTAAGAATGTGCCGGGCATCGAGCCGCGCATCTTCATCAACTCTGGAGCTGACCAGGTGCGGGAGCTTCTCGAGAACTTGGCAAGGGAGGATGCGCTGGGTGACGTTCTCGATGCGTACATGGTCGGACTGCAGGATACGTTCTACGTTACTCTCGCGTGTGCGGCTGTTGCGTTTGTGGCGTGCGCTGGTCTGGAGTGGAAGAGCGTCAAGAAGGATGGAAAGGGGGCAGCCGTTGTGGCCGCCGTCTAGGTTGTAAAGAGGATGATGATTTCTTACGTTTATTGGATGATTTTGTACAACAGGACATATGGATAGATACCCTGCTCATTCTGGAGACACAAACCTGCTCTCACATTGTACTAATTGGATTGATTGAACTTGATGGTATTCGCTTCTTCTCCTCTCTGCTATTGTGTATCATCCGGCGGTCTGTCCCACCCTCTTCTCTTCGCCTTTCCCCCGCCCGCGCCCCTCTCCCCCTCCTCATCACCACCACCCACGAACCGCAGCACCCAATCCCAGACCCTCCTCGTCTTGTCAACCTGCGGATGTCCGCCCCTGCGCAGGTCCGCGCCCGATTAGCACCCAGCCCCTTCCCCCTTCGCCCGGCTCGATACAGCA